TATATACAATTATTGGTTTATAATGCAAGTATTTATATTATTACATTTTGTTCAGTTCTTCTTAATTTTTGAGCAGAGGATGCAGTTCTGCCCTTTCAGAGATTCCATTTGGGAGATTCCATGCAATTTCACTGTTTTTCTTGAAATTGAGGAAAATCAAAATACCTCCTCTATTTTGATATGTTAGTTAGAACGTTTGCTATTTGTAAATTAACCAAGCAATTGTTTATGAGAGCACAGATTCTTTTTTTAAAGTGTTCCACTTCCCCCAGCATGCTAAAAACATTTGTAAGTAAAACACTGGAGGAAAAACCCAGACACTAGTCTATTGCCTGGTATTTTTGCCACTGATCTCTCAGCACCAACACCTCTTCAGTTTGCATCTTAGTTCTCAGTCTTTCCCTATCCTAGTTCTGTTCTCTGACCTCAGGACCCTTCTTGCTGGATTTCCTCCTGAACGATGTCCTCTTTTTCTTCTTACTTGACTTTAGCGGGTTCTAGAGATGAGGGGAAAGAAGAAGCAATGTAAACGAGAAGCTGGTTTAAAAGAGCCCCCTGTTTTAAATGGAAAAGAAACCCGAGGGGGCAACCTACTTGGGGATGCCGGACCCGTAGGATCCAAGTGGGGGGGATGACAACAGCGGCATGTGCCCCTAGTGAGCAGGGCTCCTCAATGTGCTGCAGCATGAAGCATGAAACTTTACTGTGATACTGAAACGAAAGGAAAAGGAGAGAGCCAGTTAGTGTCTACAGAACTGTCCAGGACAATCACAGCCTTCAGTGTGTCTGTTCCAAACACCAACCACGTCTACCCACGCAGCAGAATGATGTAGCAATCAGGGGGTAAAGTGATAAGGAATGGGCTGTACCACTTCAGATTGCAGGGGGCAGGATCACCATTTTTAATGCTCCCCTTACTTAAAAACTAAACAAGAAGAAGACTAGTACTTCCAAACTCTGGGGCGAGGGAGGCAAAGGAGGCAGAGGTGTTTGTGTTTAGAAAGGGGAGGCGGGCAATTTAGCAAACAGATACACTGCTGCACTCACTGCTTGCTTACACCGAGGATACAGCTGAATGGGCTACGAATCTCCTTGCTGTGGAAAAGGCGAATTTTTTGCTGGAAACCCTGCGCCACAAGGAGACAGGAAATAAGGAAGCAAGTGTGCTCGTCACTTCAAGTTTCTTTTATATCATCAGCAATGAAACCTGTGGGTCCATGAATTTACAACAACAAAGAGTCCTGTAGCATCTTTGAAACAAATAAATGTAACGCAACGTGAATATATTGTGGACATTGGAGACGAAAGACTATTTAAGTATACGACCACGGCTGCGCAGATGCTATTGACTCAGAGATGGATAGAAGATAAAGTCCCGACCAGAGAAGAACGGTAGATTAAGTTGATGCATTATGCCAAAATGGCAAAAATGACCAGAAGAATCAGGAAGAACAAAATTTTAATATAGGAATGGGGGAAATTTATAATTTATCTTAAAAACCATTGTAATCAGTTAAAATCATTAGTAGGATTGGAATAACACTCGTAGTTTAATTGTGAATTTTGGATATAATGGAGATGTAAAAGGTTTGGATTATTATAAAAGATGCAGGAGGAAATGACTAACAAGAGGACCCATAAAGGTGAGGAGGGAAATCAAGGAGATTAGTTGGAATCTTGTTTTTATGTTGTATGCTGGATATGTGATTGTAAAACCTCAATTTGAAAAACCAAATAAATAAATAAATAAATAAATAATTTATATCCCGCCCTCCCCAGCCAAAGTCGGGTTCAGAGTGGCTAACAGTAGTAAAAATAACACAGTTTACATAAAATCACAATCAATTAATTGAAATACATTCTAAAATCAATTCAAAATCAAATTAATGGCAACCATTGGGCTGGAGTGCTATGAGGATTACAGAAGGAGAGGGTCAGACTGCGCCTTGGCCCAAGGCCTGGTGGAACAGCTCTGTCTTGCAGGCCCTGCGGAAAGATGTCTAGTCCCGCAGGGCTCTAGTCTCTTGTGACAGAGCGTTCCACCAGATCGGAGCAACGGCCGAAAAAGCCCTGGCTCTAGTTGAGGCCAGCCTAACTTCCCTGTGGCCCGGTATCTCCAAGATGTTTTTATTTGAAGACTGTAAGGTCCTCCATGGGACGTACCAGGAGAAGCGGTCCCGTAGGTACGAGGGTCCTAGGCCGTATAGGGCTTTAAAGAAAGAATATATTGTGGACAAATATCCTTCATCAGACACATAACTCTTGTCCCAATGTGCTAGTCTTTATAGGACCAAAAGGAAGTGTATTTCCAAAAGGAAGTGGACCATCTTGAGGGGCTGGGAGCTGGGGGCACTGTCATACAGTGGTTCCGCTCCTTCCTCCTGGGTCGTGTTCAGAAAGTGGTGGTGGGGGATGAGTGTTCAGACCCCTGGGCTCTCACTTGTGCAGTGCCTCAGGGTTCTGTCCCCTCCCCCATGCTTTTCAACATTTACATGCAGCCGCTGGGAGAGATCATCAGGAGGTTTGGGCTGGGTGTTCATCAGTATGCGGATGATACCCAGCTCTACCTCTCTTTTAAATCAGAACCAGTGCAGGCGGTGAAGGTCCTGTGTGAGTGTCTGGAGGCGGTTGGAGGATGGATGGCGGCTAACAGATTGAGGTTGAATCCTGACAAGACAGAAGTACTGTTTTTGGGGGACAGGAGGCGGTCAGGTGTGGAGGATTCCCTAGTCCTGAATGGGGTAACTGTGCCCCTGAAGGACCAGGTGCGCAGCCTGGGAGTCATTTTGGACTCACAGCTGTCCATGGAGGCACAGGTCAAATCTGTGTCCAGGGCAGCTGTTTACCAGCTCCATCTGGTACGTAGCCTGAGACCCTATCTGCCTGCGGACTGTCTCGCCAGAGTGGTGCATGCTCTGGTTATCTCCCGCTTGGACTACTGCAATGCGCTCTACGTGGGGCTACCTTTGAAGGTGACTCGGAAACTACAACTAATCCAGAATGCGGCAGCTAATTGGGGGCGGCCGCCGAGACCCATATAACACCGGTCTTGAAAGACCTACATTGGCTCCAGTACGTTTCCAAGCACAATTCAAGTGTTGGTGCTGACCTTTAAAGCCCTAAACGGCCTCGGTCCAGTATACCTGAAGGAGCGTCTCCACCCCCATCGTTCTGCCGGACGCTGAAATATCACACGTTAAGAACTTCCCTGAACAGGGCTGCCTTCAGATGTCTTCTAAAAGTTTGGTAAGTTATTTTTCTCTTTGACATCTGATGGGAGGGCGTTCCACAGGGCGGGTGCTACTACTGAGAAGGCCCTCTTGCCTGGTTCCTGTAACTTGGCTTCTCGTAGTGAGGGAGCGCCAGAAGCCCTCGATGCTGGACCTCAGTGTCCAGGCAGAACGATGGAAGTGGAGGCACTTCCTTCAGGTATACTGGATAGAGGCCGTTTAGGGCTTTAAAAGCCAGCACCAACACTTTGAATTGTGCTCGGAAACGCACTGGGAGCTAATGTAGGTCTTTCAGGACCGGTGTTCTATGGTCTTGGTGGCCGCTCCAAGTCACCAGTCTAGCTGCCGTATTCTGGATTAGTTGTAGTTTCCTGGTCACCTTCAAAGGTAGCCCCACGTAGAGTGCATTGCAGTAGTCCAAGCGAGAGAGAGATATATTAAAGCCAGGCAATTCAAAACATATTGTGCAGAAGACTCAGGTTCTCTCAAAAGACTGAATAAACATGCCTTCAGATGGAAACAAAGAGGTGGTACTGAAGAGGCCTCAGAAAGATGCGAAGCAGTGTCAGAAAACAAAACTTCAGTATCGCTTCCCAGCAGCTGAAGTGCCTGATATAAGCTCAAGTTGCGTAAGAATCTTGATCTGAAGTTTTTTTTGCAGATCCCAATTCCAGCTTCATTGTACCCTTCAAGCTATATCCACACAGGTTTCCCCCTCACCTTTCCACACTGTCGACATTTCCCTTCCTGACGTCTCCGGTGTACCCAATGATGCCGCACGACTGTAGGCTGTGGAGAAACATGTGAACAGTTTAAAGGACGAGGAAATGGGGGAGACACATATACCGTCCCCTGAGCACACGTCTAGGCTGGGAGGCTTAGAAGCCGAGGCCTCCAATGCTGCCTTGACAATCCAGAACAGAGTAAGCCACCTTCACCTTCCCCTGCTTCAGAACCCCCTCAAACTCAGAAAGTATGCCTCAGACGCATGCCAGCCCCGCTCCTGCCTGCTCTCTGCCCCCCAGTGCCAGAGCATGAAGCCAGTGTGGTGTAGTGGTTAAGAGCGGTAGTCTTGTAATCCGGGGAACCGGGTTCGATGTCTTGTAATCCGGGGAACCGGGTTCCCCGCTCCTCCACATGCAGCTGCTGGGTGACCTTGGGCCAGTCACACTTCTTTGAAGTCTCTCAGCCCCACTCACCTCACAGAGTGTTTGTTGTGGGGGAGGAAGGGAAAGGAGAATGTTAACCGCTTTGAGACTCCTTAAAGGGAGTGAAAGGCGGGATATCAAATCCAAACTCTTCTTCAGAGCCAAAACAAGGACAAATGCAGAGCACTTCCAAAGGAAAGTATTCAGCGCCCATTACTGAAGATGAAACAAGTACTTTCTTTTTAAGATGCACCCAAAACCCAAAACTATTCAAAACGATATTACATGGCATTGAATACAAAGAATAGTCTGGCCATCTACATATTTGCCACGAGTAATACCTCAAGGCTATGAGCAAGCAATCCATGTTGCAACACAGAGAGATTATGCTATATGTAGCTTTTTCTTTCTGAAACGAGGTTAAATACACAGGAGTAACAGGCAAGGCTGTGCTTAGCGGCAAAAGGAAAAAATTCCTGGTCCCATTTAACAACACGGATCCTCACCGGCTTCAAATTTATTAAATTGTTAGAAGTCAAAATGAGTATAGCTGTTTAGTGAAATTACCTAACTTAACCACAACATGAGATAGCTGCTCATTTCATGGTTATGTCGAAAATAAAGCTCTGTGGGATGCAATCTGTAGCTTTGAAGGTGGCTGACAGGATGATTTTCAGCAATCCTATGCACTAAGACTTCTCTCATTGACTGAAATCAATGGACAGGGGCAAAGAGCAGGGCTTTCTCTGCAATTAAGTGCCCTCTCCCTTATTGGATTTCTCACTCTTCCCCACCACACCGCCCCGTTGCAAAAAAGAAGAAAAAAGGCCTTACTGGCTATCTTTGTCTCTCAGAAATTAGCTAAAGGCATTTTATTTCAGCTGGTGTTCAGAGGCAGAAACAGATGCCGATTTTATGATAACTTGTTATTTTTTTATTCCCTGTAAATGTTTAATTGTTTATATATTTTTATGGTTGTTAATGTTTTACTACTAACTATTGCTCTATTCTTAACTGTAAGCTGCCCCAAGAGCCATTTTATAAGGGCCATGTGGTAGGATATAAATGCAATACATACATAAATAAATTTGTGCAAGTATTCAGCAAAGACCATAATTTACTTTTTTTCCTAGTCTCTGTTGAAAGCGAACGCTGCAAGCACTGCAACTCAGGAAAATGTGACCAGGTATTTATTTTTACGTCTTTTCCTGTACAATCTTCTTAACATTTCTTGATTACTCAGATATTCACCAGGATTCACTCCAATAATGATCCTATTAGGAGTCACAAAGGTGAGACTCAAAGACAGGCTGCACTTCTAATCCCACCAAGCCAAGGAGAAAACACACCAAAAACAAGTCAGGATAAAACCTAAGGGTTACCATAGTGACTTGGTTACTAAGAATGACAGTTACAGTGGTACCTTCGGAAGTCGAACGGAAATCCGTTCCGGAAGTCCATTCGAATTCCAAAACGTTCGGAAACCAAAGCTCCTGCAGCCATCAGAAGCTGCGGAAGCCGCATCGGATGTTTTGGGTTCCAAAGAACATTTGCAAACCAGAACAACTCACTTCCGGGTTTGCGACATTCGGCGAGCCAAAACGTTCGACTCACAAGGCGTTCAGGGTCCAAGGTACGACTGTACACTTCCTCCACTGGGAATGCTATGTCTGTATGTTAAAATTGCTTGGCTCTTTAAAAATATGATCGAAGGAAGATTCCTTTAGGTCTACATCCAGTTTGAGAGCTGGTGCAAAATCTGTTCAGGTGAAGCACAGGTTCAAGTTTTCTCTATGGAGCTGTAAGCGTGTGGATGTGTTAAAATCTCACTTCAAGTATGGACGCTGCCTGATGGTTTGCCAGTATGGATACTCATTGGCCCAGCCCTCTACCTTTCAGCACCATGGAGAGTTCTCTTCCTCTAGGGACTGAATTAAGTGGTGGAAGTATGCCGTGACTAGCCAAGCACTCCCCAGCATGCACCAGTCCCTTCAGAGGTTATTACTAGTAGCTCAAGAGTAGTCAATGATGTTTTTTGGGCTACAACTCCCATTACCACTGATCATTAGTCATACTGGTTGGTGCTGATGGGAGTTGTAGCTCAACAGCATCTGAATGGCATAACACTGGCTACCTCTGTACTAACTGGTAAATTAGTCCACTCTTTCCTTAGATTAGAAAACTCCACTCATTACTTTAATGTATCAATAACAGATAATGGGTGGCATCTCATTGTTGTACCTCAATGTGCAGATTTTCAAAAGAAATGCTCAGGAGGGATGGGCCATAGCGTGTCTTTTACTGCTCAGACACATGTTAGCACCTCAAGTTCAGGGGGGTATACAACTTTAAACCTGGCTATGGGCAGTTTGTCACCTCAGAACCGAATGAGGCCAAAGATTTCACAGCCACCTGCATCAAAGGGTGCATGCACACAATTTCCTTGTGCTACAGATCAATAAACAGTCCACAAAGCTCTTACCTCACGGACATTTCTTGATCCAGATTCCCTGAAGGAAGGCTTGCATCGGAAATTTATCTGTGGATTTAACAGAAAGATGGGTGGAAAGCTTTTTTTAAAAAAAAACAAAAACATAAAATGTGGAGCATTTCTGTCCTGTGAGGACTACATTATTTGCCACTGGCTCTTTCCTCCCACTCAGCCCTCTCAATGAATAATTGAGCATATGCACATATGAGATTACTTTATATTGAGTCAAGCCATCAATTCATCTAGCTCAATACTATCTATTCTAACTGGCAGCAGCCCTGCAAGGCCTCTCACAGAGGCATTTCCCAGCCCTGCTGCTTGAAATCATTTAAGTGGAGATACCAGAGACTGAACCCAAGGCCAACTGGATGCAAAGCTATCGGCTTTGGCATCTCTAAATGCAAAAGTTATTTGCCAACAGAGTCAAGAAGGAACAAAATATGACAGAGAGAGTTTGGTTCTTAGGAATTTCTCCTAGCAGGCATATAAGCGTTCATTGAATTGGATCCAGCAGGAACGTTCCTTTTTTTAAAAGGAGGCTGATATCCCATCTCTCCAAGCACAGCCCAAGAGCTTAACTAGATTTTACTCACTTTCTCTAGCTGTTCTATGCAGGGTGTGTGGACTACAATCTTGCAGGCAGCACACTTGCGCTTGGAGAGAGGTTTTTGCTGCAAGACAAGGAAGACAAGAAGTTTACATCATCTGCAGTGACTGGCAAGCCTGCAACAAGCTCAACACTCAAATAACTGTTTGTGCAGAGAAGAAACCATATGGAACACACAAAGTGTAGGGTAAGAATGCTGCAGGTAATGGCTTCCTCTTCGTTCTTCCATCCCAATATATGCACCAGGGCAGAGGATGAGATGGAACGGATTGTGTATGGAGTGCATTACCTCCCACTTTTGTTGCCCATAATGAAGCAAATGGAATCCAGGCACTGAAATATATTGACCGACTGATCACAGTCCCCTACCCACAAAGCAAAGGGTGCCATCAAAGGGATAGCTGGAAATATGTATTTATTTCTATCGTTCTGTATACTTGAGGTGGATTCTCATTTTTCCAAAAGCCTTATAAATTAAAAACATAAAACACCATGCAATCAGGGGGAGAATTACAAGCTAATTTAGATGAATTTGCATCAAGGAAGTTTCTTCCAGCTCTACAAGATAAACATAAAGCTTGTGATTGCATTTCCGCCTGCTTTTCTTTATTTTTAAATCTTCCTGGAAAGCTTTTTCAGTGTGACTCACCCTTTGAGGCAGCCAAAAAAGATACAGGCGCACAGTACAAAAGGGGAGGAAAATCCTGAATTCTAATACTAGTAAGATACAGTGGCTAGAATGAATAAAACTCATTTAGGTAGTTTTAGGTAGTTTTTAAGTAGAATTTGCTACTTAAAAAAAAAAGTTGGAGGGCAAGGAAGGTCACCAAATGCTGAACAAATAGTATGCAGAGATAAGGAGTGTGTGGACATTCGGCAGAATTACCAACTTATCATCACAGAAAAATAGAAGTGTAGAGTTGGGTCCCTAATAGTCCTCTCATCCAACCCCCTGCAGTGCAGGGATATCAACTAAAGCATCCATGACCTTTGCTTAAAGAAGGAGTGTCCACCACCTCTTGTGTG